TAATTACTTTTTAAAAATATTTTTGCTATAAAGCATGTGTGCTCACCAGAGACAGAAAGACAGAAACTAAGTGAAAAATCACCCTTGAGCGGTATGGCCATGCCACTGTCTCTTCTTCTTTCAGGATGTTCAGCACAAATGTCCATGCACCTGGCATGAGTTTCAAGGTTCTGGGTTGGGAATTGAATTGAGGTTGGCCACATGGGACAATGCCTTAACCACCATGCCACATACAGGCCCCTATGTTTTATTCCTAGTAGTGATAGTTTAATTTTTATTGAGCAATAGTAGGGACTGATAGTATAGTTATATATTTCATACTTGTTTGATTTGAAATAGCTGACTCTGGAAAAGAAGCACAAATAAAGCAGCAAGCAGGCCTTCCTTCTTGGGGCATTTTCTGGAATCCAGGAATACAGCTGTGACTACACACAGATTCAGGAGTCTGAGCAGAAAAGAAAATCATTAGTCAATCATGTACACTATGAGCTGTTTTGAATACATGTCACTATTTCTCTCTATTTTAGAGAAAACTGGCATTTAATAGTTCATCACTGTTTATCCTTTAGATATTAACTAGGCTTCTATTTATTTTTTCAGACAGAGATTTTGACTATAGAGTCCATGTGCTTGCCAGAGAGAGGGACAGACAGAAAAAGAGAAAAATCATCCCTGGGGGATTGCTACACTACAGTACCCTCTCCATTCTCCTCTCAGAATTTTTGGCATGCATGCACATGTGCTTACATGAGTTTCAGGCCTCTAGGCTCCAGGAGTCAAACTGCAGTCAGCCATGTGGGATTCCAGACCCTTACCCACTATACAACTTGCTGACTACCCTAACTAGCCTTCTAATTAAAAACTGGTACCTTAGCTTTCTTCTTTATGCATTATTGTTTTAATTTTTAAAATAATGTTATTTAATTTTATTTATTATTATTTATTTATAATTTGACCAGAAAATGGCAGAGAGAAAGTAAAAGTGAGAAAACAAGCCATCATTTCTTGGACTTGAGCAGCAATTGACCCTATGGGAATCCAGTGCTTTAACCACCTCACTACCCGTGGGTTCCCTTTATGTATGTAATGTCCATGGTGTTATTTTCTTCTCCTATGCAATTACTTCATCTAAAACCACTTCAATGCAGGTTTTTACATGATAAAGACTGAAAAGGTGTGTTCTCTCATTAATATTTATACTATATTCTCATATCTGGTTGGGTAGAAAATATTAGATTCTGGATTTTAAAATATTCAATATTATTATATGAAGATACACAATAAAAAGTTAACTTAAAATGAATGGGACAACACATAAATGATGAGAGTGTGGTTATTCCATTTCTGGGCTTCTGACACTAGTTGAGCACTGCTTTTCATATACAAACACAATATACATGTACAAAATATGATATTTGTATAAATCTTCTGACTTATCTAATGGCCTGAGATTATAGTCAATGCTTTGAGATGTTTAGTACAATGAGGAATGGTATACAAAATGTTGCCAGGTGGTGTGAGGGTTAGAGCACTGGACTCTCACAGGGCTGACTATGGTTCAAGTCCCCAACATTACTGCTTGCTTGCTCTCTCTCTCTCTCTCATCAAATTGAAGAATAAAAATAATAAGTAATAAAGAAAATAAGTAATTTTTAATAAAACAAAAATGTTATGCAAAATGTCAAGAGAAAATGTGAATAGTATCTACAAAAACATAAATGGTATCTTAATCTATAATCTACTTGTCTTTATATTACACCAAATTTTAAGAAGGATTTTGTTTACTAATGACAAAAGGTTTCAGGATATATAGAGAATTTTTTTTATACACACACACATATACATACATATGAAAAGGTCATGTGTGCCATAAAAACATAAGACATTTTAGTCATTAATAAACTGCATATATGTTAGTACTCCTATAACAAACATAATAGTATAGGCCATATCAATTCCATGTACTGTGTGAAATATCATCTAGGTTTGTGACCAGCAGTTAGCGTAGTGGCTATGTCGCTGGACTCTCACATAGTCGACCGCGGTTCGCATCCCGGACCCGGTGGCTTAAACTCACACCGGGCGCATGTGCGTGCGTGCGTGCCCAAGATCCCAAGTGGAGAATGGAGGAGAAGGGATTGTGGTGTGGCCATCCCCCCTGGGAGGTGATTTCTCGCTTTCTATCTCTCTGTCTGTCTCTGTCTGTCTGGCGAGCACATGTGACCTATAGCAAAAGCCTCTCCAAAAAAAAATATCCTCTAGATTTGTGTAAGTGCAATCTATGATGTTCACAGAATGAAATTTTTTAAAAACACATTTATTAGAACCAGCAAATTGTGCAATGGCTATGTCATTGGATTCCCACATGGCTGAGCCAAGTTTGAGTCTCAGACCTGGTGGCTTGAAACTCACGCCAGGTGCATGTGCATGTGTGCCCAAAATCCCAAAATGAGAATGGAGAAGAGATTATGGTGTGGCAATTCCCCTGGGGCATGATTTCTCACTCTTGCCCTGTGTCTCTGTCTGTCCCTGTGGTGAGTTCAAGTGCTCTACAGGAAAAACCTCTCTAAAAACTACATTCTCAAAATTTTTATCTTCTTAAAAGATATTCAACTGTGTGTATATAACCACCACCTCATTGATTTCATTCATTGAACTGTTGCTTGAACAAATGCAAGAAACCAAATCAGCTTATAAAAACTGAAAGTATTTCTATAGTTTAGAATGTATATAAGCAAAATCAGAGAGTAAAATTTGAATGTAAAAGGCAAATTTTGTTTTGTTCATTTGTATTTTGACTGAGGCAAGAGTTCAATTTGTTTTCTTTAGAATTTGCTTAGGTCATGTATGTTCACAAGAGAGAGACAGAGACAAAGAGAGAATAAGAAAATTAAACCTCAGGGAGCTGACCATGACAAAGACCCTTCTCGTTTATTCTACTCTACAGATTTGGGCATTCACACACATGCATGCATGCCAGGCATGATTTTCAATTCAGTGGATCCAAAACTAAAATAATAGTATGCCACATCACAGTCCAGATGCCACATGATATCCTGTAAAAATCAAATTTATGGCTGAGTTACAGTAGTCACACAATTTTATTTAAAGACTCTGTTCAGATAACTACATATATATTTTGATTTTTGTGTGTGTGTGTGTACTCACCAGAAAGAGAAAAACAGATAGTGAGAGAATAAGTGAGAAATCACCCCCCAAGAGAATGGCACACACATCCAGCATGAGTTTCAAGTCACCAGGTC